TATTTTGTTTATTTTCTCAAAGAACCACCTCTTGGTTTCATTAACTTTTTCTGTTGTTTTATTTTCCTCAATTTAATTAATTTCTTCTCTGATCTTCATTATGTCCCTCCTTCTACTGACTTTGGGTCTCATTTGTTCTTCTTTTTCCAGTTTCAATAATTGTAACACAATTAAAGTTTTAAAACCACTGCCATACTAGATTATCCTGGCACATGTTTTAAAAAACTGTGCCTTTTTAAAAATTCCAGATTGCCCTTGAAGAAGATGTATGACAAAATGTAATCACTATCACCATTTGCATGATGGGGGAATTGTCCAGTTTTCCAGCCATATTATATCCCACACTCTCAAAAGCAATAATAATAACCTATTGTCTTTGAGGCTGGGATTGTATTGTTGTGACTTTTAATTACATTCATTGAAATGAACAGGTCTAGGACTCATCCCTCAAACGTCTCCAAAGCCAGAATCCAGAGTCAAGATTGGTTTTGATAAGTTTATGCTGCCTGGTTTGCCTGATGTAAAACCTCAAGGAAGCCTGTCCATTGACCCTTGTGGTTTTGAGGAAGTTGATTTTGAAGATCTTAACCGGAGACTTGAAATGCTGAAGAAAACCACATAATTTCTTTGTCTTGGATTGAGTAATTGCCTGAGAATCAGGGCTCCTGGGCACAAATTTAGAGGATGGCTACCTGTGTGTGGGTCTGAAGTTTTCTTATTTACAATCCCTTACATCTCTTTTCTATGGTTCTCTGTAATAATGCACATGCATGTGAGTGTGTGTGCATATGCATATAATTATTCCTCTCCCTTAAAATCCTGTAATTCTTAGATGAGAAAATCCTGACCTATAGAATTTAATAATTATAGTTAATAAATTTTTATTTTCTCCTGGATCCTTATTTGTCATAATTATCACTTTTTTCTAGGGAGGCAATATGGTGTGTATTTAAATCCCACTTTGTAGCTATAGTACTTTTGACAAATGGTACCTCCTGTCAGATGTACCTGGAAATTAGAGGAATAAGTCTCTTTTTAGAAATGAATATCTTAAAGAAAGAATATGCAAACACTTGGAGTAAATTAAAGAACTGTTTTCAGGAAATCAGTGGAATCTGTATGCCTGGGTTCAAATTTAGACTGCCACTTACTCGTTGTGAGCCTCCCTTTTCTCACCTGTAAAATGGGGACAATAATGATGATTAAAAGAAAAAATGTATAGAAAGCTTTTTAGCACTTAGTAGGTGCTCACTAGATGTTAGTTTCCTTTCTAGTTTCTATTATTTGCTAGGTTCTGGTGGAATAAATATTAGTGACTCTGTGAGACTGAGTTGAAGCTTAGAAAACAAGACTTCCAGGTTAGTTTTTTTATTTGTTTTGTTTCCTATGTAACTGGTATTTTGTGTTTGTTTTTCTCTTTAATAGACTTTATTTTTCCAAGCAGTTTTAGGTTCACAGCAAAATGCTAAATTAATTTAAATGCAATTACTGGTCGTGCAAAATCTTTATTTCAGAATCCTATTTTATGCATTTAGGAGAGTTTATATTTCTCCTTTTGCACATGAGGCAGTGATACCTGTAAACCAAATTCTCTTTAAAAAAATCAGTTTGGTTTTGAATGTTTCATTCTAGGATTTTTCCCCCTCTCATAAAAAAAACAAGTTTATCCAAAGAATATTGTGTTAGGGGAAGGATCTTCCAAGCCTAAGGCCAGGGACTCTCGTGTACAGCAAGCTGGCTGCCTCTCTTCAGGAGGAAGGTACCTCCCCCTGGCACCTGTTGAGGGCCTGGATCATCCTCTGGCATGTGCCAGCTGCTTGGCGGAGAAGAGGTTTGGTGTTCCCTGAACTGGGTAGCAGGAACTGGCTACTCCAGTTACTGTGGATGTCCCAACACTTCTTGGACTTCCCAGACTAATTTTAAAGCAACCTGTAGGACTGAATGATTTTAAAGGAGCAAGGATGGGAGTATGCACCTAAAGGGGAGCAAAACAAATTTACCATTGAGGCTTCTAGGTAAAGGATCAGGCCTGTATTAAGGAAATAAAGTTGCTTGCTTAAGAAACAATGTACCGGAGGCCCTGTGCTGTTTCTGGGTGGTGCATCCTTCTCCAGCGGCCTCTGTGACTTCTTCCCTAAGTGGAGGAATGGCGCTATTTCCTCATGTTGGAGTTTGAGTGGGTTGTAGTCTCATATCTCTGGTGATGTATTTTTCACTCCAAAAGTGCCAGCATTGTACAGAATCAGCAAAAAGCTAAATTAATCTAAATGCAATTAGTGGTCATGCAAAATCTTTATTTCAGAATCCTATTTTATACGTTTAGGAGAACCAAGTGTAACTACTCTGCAAAAATGAAAATATTGTGACATAAAACACCTCAGGTGGCACTTGGGGCTGCGTCTTCAGAAAAATTTCTAAAGCAAAGGGGGAGCTTCGCTGAGTCTCATATCCTCTGGACCTTGGGAACATACAGTGGATTTCCTAATGTTTTTGGTAGGAGGTCAAGTATATGGAGTTGGCTGTTCGAACTTTAATTTTTCTTTAATTTCTGGCTTTTGTCATAACAGAAGGATTGATTCCTAACCCCTTTGCTCAGTCCAGGATAAATTTTGATTAGAGACTATGCTTAAAAGAATTGTAAAAATGCTTCTCATGACAGCATTAGATAAACAACAGAGGGACTAATTTCTCCCTGTCTCTCAGGCTCACCAAACAAATTTTGGTGACTCAAAAGATAGCAGTAAGAGGCCAGTGGAGCTGCCTCTTTGATGCTGGTCACTGTATCTCCTACAAGGTTCCTTCCTCTCTTCACTCTCTCTGCTATGGTGTCTGGCACATGGAGAAGGAGGAAGAGTTCCTTGTGAAAGGCACTGACCACCTTTCTGCAAAGAGTGCTTTCTCTGCCTCCTATAAAGGTCATATGGTTTCAGCTGCTGAGACTGAGTTACTTCAGAAACCCACTGCATCTAAACCCAAGAGAGATGTCCCCTGCTAGGACCACAGAGTCCAACTGACATCCCATGTCTCCCCAAAACCCTCTTTCACTGCCCTGGCATCCAGGGACCTCTCATTTTTGTGCTTTTTTTTTTTGAAATGAGGGCTTAATTTGTTTAGTAATATTGTCACTAATATTTTTATGTATTTCAGGATTAAAAAAATGAATTTTCCTCGGTGCAATTATAATTATCTCAGGGTAGGGACAGTCTCTTTTGAAATGTCTGTTACAGTGTGTGAGACTGAATAAAGGAAAACTCACTAAAATGGAGCCAGAAAGTCAGAAGGGGAGCTCTCATGCCCTGTCACTCATCACCAACTGCAGACCAAACTGGAAGAGATGTACGTTGCCTTCCCAACAGGAGAAAAACCTGTGCTTCACTATCCAAAGGGAAGGAGGAAGATTTTCTCCTAGCCTTGCAACAGTCCAGCCAATGAGAGACTGTCTCAATGCAGCCAATGAAAAGCCACTACACTATGAACTCCAAGTTCATTCCAATGAACTTTTCGTTTATAATACCCCCTTCCTTTTTCCCCAGTAAGAGCAATCCTCTCCTTTGTTCTCTGGTTTTGCTGTAGTTTGCTTGTCCTCAATTGCAATTCTTAGCTGTTTCTGAATAAGCCCATTTTTGCTGATAAAATAATAATTATTTTTTTAAGCTTTAATTTTTAAAGTTAACAGCAAATTCTGTGCACCTAGAGCACGCAATGTAGTGAGGTGGAAAGACTCGAGCAGCATGTTCATCACATGATTATTATATGGGCTACAAAATACACAGGTAGCCCCACTTTTCAAAGGTTCAGGTTACAACCACTTTGCTTTTACAAAGACATAAATACCTATTTTTGCTAACTGAAAGAAATACAAAGAGGATTTTCACTTTTATGGAAAATGGTGAAAAGTGAAAATGGCATTCAGCATTTGTTTTGCCCCAGGCATTTCTAGAGGCAGTGCACACCGCCAGCAGTCAGAGTAGCATCACCAAGCCCCTTCCCCATACTAAGTTCAGAATCTCAGGATCAAGCCACCAGAGCTTTGAACTGTGTCTGTGAGCATCTGTGCATTGTCTTGCTTTATTATAGGTATCCACTGGCAAGATGTGTTCTAAGGTATCAGAAAATCCTGAGATTATCTTTTTGGCCTGGGAATGCTCAAAAGTTTTCTGTATAAATTAGTGTTAACTAGTTCTTACATTATGCCATTTTGGTTTATGAAAGATTTCATACAAACACTCTGTTTTCAGATATTGGGGGAGACCTGCATTCAATGTTGGAAGATCTAGATTTGAGTCTGGTCTCTGCTGTATGAAGATGTGGCAAATCATTTAGTCTCTCTGAGCTTATGTTTCCTCATCTCTAAAATAGGAATGATAATACTTGACCTGAAGAGCTAATATTTATCAAGCTCTTACTGTGTGCCAGCTGCCGTTCTAAGAACTTTAGAACTACTGTATCAGCTCATTTGATAATCACACAGACTTAAGATGCCAATGCTACTATTAACTCCATTTTATAGATAGGTACACTGAAGTTCAGAAACGCTCAGAGATGTTAATTAACTTGTGGCAGGTCACACAATAAAAAGGAAGACCAGCATTTTAAACCCAGGCAGTCTAGCAACAGGAACTTTTAACTATTATGCTATAATGTCTGCATGGTTTATAAGTTCATGGTGGGTGAAGAACCAATGAGTCAATGTATATGAAAACACTTTTCAAACTGAAAGACACAATGCACTGCTGTTACTTGTAGTGAGCAATCAGTAAACGCTTTAGTAGAATTGTGTGTGGCACAAAGTTTTTATACTTACACTCTCATGACGCTTGATACTTCTCAAAATGGTTTCACACATTTAAGCGCTCTGGATAATAAGCCACTTTGAATCCATGTGGGAACAAGGCTAGTCATAAATAAATATTGGACATCTGAAGCAACAGGCCCAGTGATGTTATCTTGTTCAGGGCAGAAAATGATTTAAACCCAGCCAGGACTGGCCTGGTATCTGAGTGGTCTGACTCCTGGCCCAGCCTCTTCGGTTTTGTTTATTTTTCTTGTTGTTACTATTTGTTAAATCAAAACATACAAATTATTAATCATAAACAAAATAAAAATAATGATCTTTTCTCCAAGCTATTTTCTCTTCCTAGAAGCTTGTCTAATCCTTTCAGGCTCTTGCTATTTCAAAAACAAAAATCTCCTTTAGCCTTTGGATCCATTAAAATACATTATCTTATAAGGACTATATTCCCCCTAAGATGTAAAAGCCTTTTTTTTTTCAAATAAAAGTACAGTATGTTCATCGCAAAAACAAAACATAATACAGTAAAAGTCCTCTATATTCTCATCATCCAAAGATAACCATTTATGTGTTTTAGTTTTATCCTTCAACTTTCTTCATATATATATATATATATATATGACACACACACTTTTTCCAAGCTCATTTTGTAATACCGTTTTGCAGTTTTTTTTTTTGAGAGGGCATCTCTCATATTTATTGATGAAATGGTTGTTAACAACAATAAAATTCTGTATAGGAGGGGTCAATGCTCAATGCACAGTCATTAATCCATCTCAAGCCTAGTTCTCTTCAGTCTCCAATCTTCCGAAGCATAACGAACAAGTTCTTACATGGTGAACGAATTCTTACATAGTGAATAAGTTCTTAAATGGTGAACAGTACAAGGGCAGTCATCACAGAAACTTTCGGTTTTGATCACGCATTATGAACTATAAACAATCAGGTCAAATATGAATATTCGTTTGATTTTTATACTTGATTTATATGTGGGTCCCACATTTCTCCCTTTATTATTATTTTTATTTTTAATAAACTGCTGAAGTGGTAGGTAGATGCAAGATAAAGGTAGAAAACATAGTTTAGTGTTGTAAGAGAGCAATTGTAGATGATCATGTGTGTGCCTGTAGACTGTGTGCTAATCCGAGCTAGACAAGGGCAATAAAACATCCACGGATGCAGAAGCTTTCTCTCAACACAGGGGGGGGGGTGAGGTTCTAAGCTTCACCACTGTTTTTCCCCAGTTTCTCACCTGATGGCCCCTCTGCGACTGTGCCTGTCTTAGGTTGTTCCTCCCTTGAGGAATCTTACCCGTCTCTGGCTAACCAGTCATCTTCCGGGGCCATACAGGGAAATGAAAGTTGGTAAGTGAGAGAGAAGCCATATTGTTTGAAAAGCTTAGCTTTTTACTTCTTTGCAGATTTATGCCCTGTGGCTTCTATGCCCAGCACTTGTCTCGAGGTATCTTTACCACCTGGAGGAATTATGATACTCGGTAAATTCGATATGAGGCACGAATTCTATTTAAGGGTTGTAATTAGTAAGGAAGAAGAAAAGCTATAGAGGTAGCATATGGAAGAAAACATGGGAGGATTGATTATTTCTTTGACATATCTTCTTGTAGAGTACCTTAAGTATGTATAGGTTTTAAACTACTAACTAACTTGCGCACACATATTAACATAATAGGAATACGGTGACATAAACAAAGCAAATCTATAATTACCAGCCATCTCCAGTGAAGCCAAGAAAACCATTTAGGCACCCTAGGCATTTGTGAAAATTAGTCTATGATATGATGGATATTGTCCAACTGTACTTGAATAGTCTGAGAGAGGTCAGACAAATTAAAGCAACCCATTTCTGGGATCTGTTCACATCCCATATGTTCTTTTAACCGTAGATAGTCTATAGTCATGAGATTTTGGAGTGCTACACCTTGCACCCCTCCCAACTCCTGGTTGAGTTCCAACAGTACAGATCCGGTCAAATTCGTTGTCTCACTGTATGCACATGCCAGCCTAGATATCTCCCTCCTCATTCCAATGGCAAGTCCAGGAAACGGTGGGGTGGACGCAACCACAACCGCAGCATCGCCCGGATCCCTGTGGAGGCTTTCTGATGATCATCCCCCGGCACGAGTCCTCCAGAGAGTGCTGATGCTGGAAGCTCCTCCTCATATCATATCTTAGTTCATTTTCTGGGTATCCAAGCTAGGCCTTGATCTTCTGCATAGAAACAAACAGACCCTTTGCCCACACTTTGACATGCCCTCTATACCACTGTGCAGAACTCATTGGAGGTCAGCACACAGGAACTGATTTTTTTTTAAATCTTTAATCTACACTTACATGAAGAATACTATGTTTACTATGCTCTCCCCTATATCAGGTCCCCCCTAAAAACCACATTACGGTCACTGTCCATCAGCATAGCAACCGTTTTGCAATGTTTTTAAAAAACCACCATTTGATGGTAACAAAAACAGAACTGTAGTTTCATTTTTATTGGCACATAGTATTCTATTTTATTGACCTGCTGTAATTTATTTACCTGAAATCAGGGATATGTTTGAGTAGGTAGAGAGTAAGTTTTCCCAGACTTTTATTGCATTACCCATAGAAACCAAAGACATCAGGATAATGATGACCATGACCATGCTATACATTGGGTCAATTGCTTTTAATTTTCAGTTGCATTGGAGGAGGGGTTTGGCAATCATAAAGATAAGTAAAAAAAATATATTGAGGGGATTTACATTTTATAATGTCGGCCATTTGCTCTTTAATGCTCTGCCATTTGGCATGGTAGAAAAAGCTCCTTTCTTTCTTAAGATGGTTTAACTTTCTGGTTTGCAATGCTAAAAATTGAAATTAGACCTCTAAGCAAATTTTTGTGACAGTGCAAACAGAATATGTTAGCTAACTGTTTTGCAACCTGCAAACTCCTTACTTTGATAGGAACCCCAAACTGTACTTTAGCAGGTGTTTATGCATAGCTACACAGAGAAATCCACATTATGGCATCATTTTGGTGTTCTAGTTTCATACTACTATTTACTAGCCATGTGATCCAGGACTGCACTGTACAGTAGTGCATGGAGGGGGTATGAGGCAACTGAATTCCGTAAGCACTGTGCTTCCCCGACCACTTGCTCTTGGTTGACTCCACCCTGAATGTGCGGGTGGGGTGGGTATGTACAGTTCTCTAATTCACCAGGTGTCACGGTATAGCAGAATCCAGTGGGGGAGGCAGAGGGAGGATTGATCTTTCAGCAAGTCACAGTTTCTCTGAGGCTCAGTCTCCTTATTTGTAAAACTAAGTTACTCATGCTTGTCTAGTATGACTCAGAAAGTTGTCCAAGGGTCAGATTAGATTATACATAAGAAGGTGCTTTTATAAACAATGTGATATCAATATTTAATAATAAAAAATGATAATTACTATTATTACACCTTGGCCTCTTTTCTTTCCAGCCATTTGGCATGCCCCAGTAGTTGAAGAAGATACAGCTAGGCCTACTCAGTTCAGTTTGTGTAAAACGTTTTTAAATCCTGCATGAAAGTGACAATCTAAGGAAAAAAATGCAACCTGCTGTGACAAGTCCTAAAGACTTGTGGTTAGTTCAGTTCTCTTTGGCATCCAGGCAGGTGCTCTGCTTTATTTACTTCAGAGGTACTTTAATACCAATCTACATGAAAGATTTTAGTTTAGGTAGGTCATCGTTCCTTTAACTGGGCCAATACATCATGGCGCTCCTTACGCTCATATGGAAAATATTTGTTTGGTGTTAATAATTATTTATCAGCCCAGGAACTGTCCGGTTAGACTGTCTTTGTCTCATGTCATTTATTCATGGAGTTACAGTCAGAAAGTCCACTCTGGAAGGGTTTTAGCTCTCACTAGTTCCAATCCTAACTGAAGCCCTGGGAGTTTAACGGCATTAAGTTGAGCGCTGGTATTGGCGTGGAATCCATTCTTCTGTGTCATACTCTAATTCTCTTTATAAAATACATTGCAAATATAACATCACAGAATCTATGACCTCTTGAAACTTGTTCCTGAACTCAACCTAAAGAGAAAGCTAAAGTCTCAAAGGTGATAGAGTGGGGGATTCTCTAGAATTATAGCAAGCTCAGCCCGGCTCCGTGTTCACCGTCCCCATCTACCTCACCTCACCCACTTCCTTCGCTAACTTGCTAGCCCCGCCCACTACCGGCGACCCCGCCCACTCGGCGTGACTCCGCCCACCTGAGGCGAAAACTCAGCCTCCTGGTATCCAGCTTTCCCTCCGCAAGCGGAACCAATATCCGTGGGCTCCGGGATCAACCGGATCTTTCTCGCTCAGACTCTGCGCAGCGGTGACTCGGCAGCAGCGTCTAGCGTCATCAGTGCCAGCCCCGTTCCTTGCTACGCTTTGCGTCGCTCTGCTAAGAACAGTCACCTCCTCCTTGGCAAATAGTCCGCGGCAGGGTCCTAATTCTTGGATAATAGGAGAGGGTTAGCACGAGGAAGTGCAGTCAGGGGACGCGGAACTGACAAGGAGAGGGAGACAGGTACCGAGGTTTCTGCGATAGCGTGTGAAGTTAGCTAAGAACACCCTCCCCCCGAAGGATCCCTCCGCCTGCAGTAGCGGTGGTGAGGCTGAGGGAGCCGCCATTTTGGATGTTCGGTTCCTGCTGCCACTGCCGCCGCCACCCCCGGAGCTGCTGGTTTCATTCGAGGTTTCGTGCCGGTGAGTGTCACTCGCCCCGCTAAGAGCATATTGCTTTTTTTGCTCCGCGCTTGCCTGGAGCGCTCGGCCGGAAGCTTCCTGTCAGTCCCAGGGGTCCCGTCCCAAGCTGCAGGGGGTGAGAACGGGACCGAGGCCGGGCCAGGAGGGGCCCGGGGCCCCGCGGGCTGCTCCTGCTTCTGAGGGCCAACCCCGAGGCCTCGGAAGGGAGGCTCCCCGCGCGGCCGCTCGGTGCTGTGGCGCTGCCCGGCTGCTGCGGGCCTCCGGGAACCCACTGACTCCCAAGCTGTGATCCTCTTGAGGGCTCATTCAGGGAGCCTGGGGTCAGCGGGCGGGTCCCAGGGTCCCACCCCCGCACGGCCCCCGCGTGACTTTCCTGAGCCACGTATCAGCGCTCTTCTGTCATGTATCCGGGTCAGGCCTTCCTAGAACTCTCTCCAGCATTTCCAAATGCTAACTCTCTCAGCGCCTGCAGAGCTGTCCTCTTAGAACCGGACATCGGCCTCGTCTCCCTCTAACCTTTCGACTAACTTCTTTCCCAATTGTACAAGTTTTTTTTTTTTTAACTTACCTTCTAGTACACTGTTTACCCTTCCCTCAAACTCCTGTCCTGCGGTCATCAGTTCCTAGTAATTCTCCCGATCTCCCAGACTGCCCGGAAGTCGGGACTATTGGTTATTTCCAAACTCTTAGGGCTTGGTGTAGAAGATCCGTCGAACCACTCATAGTGTACTTCCAACAGTAAATGTTTATAAAGTTGATTTAATTGCTTGGGGCGGAGGTGTAGGCAGGAGACTATCAAATGTTTTCTCATTTGTGGATTCCCTTTCTGTCCTGAACACAAACTTTTTGGTGCTTATTGACACTTAAGTGTTTTTCTTGGTGTTATGTATCCCTGGGCATGAAAATATGCCTGTGAAGAAGGATCTGAATCTGACGTAGTAGAGGAAAGTAACTTTTTTTTTTTTTGGCAGCTGTAAGGATTAGTTACCAGAAGAAAGGAGTGAAATAATTCTTAGTAATCTTAACTTTCAGGTGTTTTGTACATTAATGATCTTTGCTAATTCTAAAAAATACTTCAACTTCGTGTATTGGGTTTCTCTATACTTGGATTTTAAATACGCGCTTCCACTGTTCCCATAATGCTTGTCAAACTGTATACACCTTAAATTTTGGTTTAAAAATATAGACACTTCCGACCCCCGTAATCTCACCAGTTTTATTCTACTCTTAAACTCTGTGTGCAGTATAGTGTGCTTGAATAAAAAGCATTGCACATTAATTCACTGATTTTTTTTCTTGCATTTCAAGTTGGGTGCTTGTGATTGAATCATCTCCATTTCATCTCATTCTGGTCTTTTTTACATTGGCAAGTAAGAAATAACTTATTTGGGATTATGGCCTGGTGACTGCTCAAATTTAAATTTATAACTTGAACTGGATTAAATCTTTTAGTATTTCTAGTTCACATGTAAGTGCATTGTTTTAATCATAAGGTAGATAAATTCCTGTACTGGTCATATGATGCCTCAGTAGAAAACTGAATGTCTTTACTGTAAATAGTGTTATTTGTTTTGAGGAGACTTTTCAAAACTGTATTGATTACTATTTGTGTATTTACCGTGGGGCTGGGCGTTGAAAAAAATGTCAGACAGGGAACATCTTTGGAATGCTCACTCATTGAACTAAGTGTCCGCTATAGTTGCTACTGAAATGTTCCATTATCTGAGTCACACTTTTGGAAGAGCTATCAGATAGGTGTTACTTAACTCACTTCATTTCATGGTATAATGTACTGGTTTTTAAACATAATTCTTAGGTGGTTTGCATTCAGTTGGTGAAAGTGCCCTTTTGCCTTAAAATTTTAAGCAAAGTGCTGTTTAGTGTACCAGTTGATTCATCCAGCACATACATGAATGTGTACTATGACTAAAATTGTTGGGATTTCAAGTAGCCACTTGAAATTAATTTGTTCAGGATCCCTCAATTCATTTTCTTTGGGGAGTGGTTGCTTTTTCTTTTGATCTGTTTTACTGACAGCAGTTCTAGATTTGAGGGTGAATTTTATGAGTGAAACTTTATTATAAAGTACAAAAATTGTCAACAATGTCTTCGTGATATTTCATCCCACTGTTCATTTTAAAAAGTAGTCTTGAAATAAATGGTGTACAAAAACCCAAGAGATTTTTTTGTGATTTATAAAAACTCAGATTGAAAAAGTTGAATGAGTGTCTTCCAAAAGATTATTTTTAATAAAAAAAAAAAAAGAACTGGAAAACTACATACCAAAACAGATTTTCAAAATGCTTAATCCCCTTATGTGCAGTTGATGAGGATTTTTAAATTTTGTGTACACAGCAGGACTTAAATTGATATCAAACTTTAAAACATTTACATTTAGCCACAAAAAAATATAAAGCTATTACCTTCAAGTTGCAGCAACTCATTTAACTGTTTTTAGTACTTGTAACTGAATCCTTGCTTTATGAATTTGTTTTCAGTCCTTGATTTTGGCTTCCTTTTATCCCTTTGTAACTTTTATTCAGTTTCTTACATGTAGAATAATATTTAAACTAGCAAGCAATTTTAAAATTATGAGTTTATCTAAGCTTTTGTATTTCTTGGACTTAAGAGGTTTTGAAACAAATCATTGTCAAAAGTATTAGGGTTTTCTGTTTTTCCTTTTTGTGTAGAAAATTTTATTTCAATAAAAGCTGTCATTTCTACCTTGAAAACATGTGTAAGGCTTTTTCTTCACTGATGGAGTAATGCAGAATACTTTATTTGGCATGAATTTTGGTTACTAGAACAATCTCTTGTCAAGAGTTTGTGGATCTATAAGTGGGAAAAAACCCACACTTGTCTAACTTTTAACTAACCTGTATAAAAGGGCAAGGCTTAGGATAATATGATTGAAATGAGAAATGCTTTTTTCTTTACGTACTTCTAAATTTTGCTTCTTTAAAAATTTATTTTGCTCAGACCATTGGAGAGAGAAAATGAATAAATTAAGTGTTGTCAGTGAAAAATAGTCTTACATGTATAAAGTCGTCATAGTTTTAAGAGCTGAAGAAAACATGTGACCATTGTACTTTATAAAGATATCTTAAAGGTAAATAGTTTTTACCCCCCCTTTCTCTCTTCTTACAGTGGGACAGTCACAGTGTAACCTGATACATTGCTTTGGTACCTCCAGCTTGCTTGTTGTACTTGATTGTATTTGTGTTTTACTGTGCATCCTACGCTTTTCAACTTTCCTGGCTTTGAGGGTAATGTTATGGATTCTTGGGAAAAGCAAATATGAGAAGGACATGAACTTAAATCTTTGAAACTATAAAATATTTGTACTTCCTTCACAAGGCTTTGGGTTAACATTAAGATTGTCCTAGAATAGATGATTTACACTGGTTATAAGATCTAATTTTTGTAAATGAGATCTTATTTACAGTTGTATAACTCAAACTAAAAGGAGTTCCCTTAATATTTTTATAATTCAATTTAGTGAAGTTATTTACTAAACCTCACTGTTGGGAAATTGTTCAGTTTCAAGCTGAAGAAAAGGAAGGGAAGTTAAATTTTGTATTGCTTTTTAAAGAAGATTTTGGTTCCCTTCCCACTTTTTGAAATTTTTGAAAACATGATACTTTTAAAATACCGTGGAAATATTTGAGATGAATAGGGCAATAAATGAAAATATTTAGGCATACTAGAAGAGCTATTTGAATCTTTGTAGATATTAGTTTTTTGATATGATTATGGAGGAAAACTGTTGTAAGAAGAGCTTTTTATGATTGTTCCCCATATATATGTGATGTTCTATATTTTTAAAAATTAAAAAAATTTTTTTGATACTGTTTGAATGTGTATTGTCTCTATCAGTGAATGTGCTGGCTCTGTATTTTCTTCAGAAACTTTCCATGATGACAGCTTCATAAATGGTGTTGATTATTTGAGAAAGTAGAATGAGGAAGTAGCTTGCAGTTTGATTTTACTAGCATTTGGCTGTATTATTTACACACACTGAACTTCTTGCTGTTCTTTCATTCTCGGTGTCCCTGTTCTACCTGTATCTGGAGTGCTTTTTTCTTCCACCTAGTGAACCTGTTCTCCTTTCCTCTACTCCCAGGTAAAGAGGTGTAGCACTTCTTTCCCCCCAGGCAAATGGGTGTAGCACTTTTTAAAAGTATTTGTTGAATTGTCTACTTTTCCTTTAGCTTCCAGGGAGCAAGAACTAGCTAATCCATGGCATCCTTAGTACATAGTACAGTACCTGGCTCTTAGCTACTCTGCAGAATGAAAATAATAATCAAAAATTGCTCAAGGGTTCAGATATATAATAATTGGTGAATACTAGAGCGAAAAGCAGTTGGGGTCCTGAGTGAATTATGGGAATCTCTTTCAGGTCATTTACTTGTGACTGGTAAAGTTCATGTCAGTGAAGTTCATTTTCAGGTTTAAGAAACATACAAAACCTTGTCTCCATGTCTTTGAAAATACAGTTTAGATGTTTAATCGGGAAATTGACATTACCATTTTCTCTGTGTCATTTAGTCATACTCTTTCTTATGTAAAAGCTCCAAGTGGCAGCAAAGAAGTCTACTCTTTCTGCTATCTTCTGTCTTTCTTTTGAATACTTGTTACATCATTCATTATGCTGAGGAAACTAAACAGTAAGTTGAGAACTTCAGTCTTTTTCCTCCAAATAGAAATATGTTGATACATTAGTAGTGATTTGTAACTGACTCTCCCCTTGTGTTTGAATAATGTACTTCTTTTTTCAGTCTTTTATTTTTATTACAATTTTTTATTAAGGTATTATTGATATATACTCTTAGGAAGTTTCACATGAAAAATTGTGGTTATTACATGCACCCATATTATTGAGACCCCCCCATACCCCATTGCAGTCACTGTCTATCAGTGTAGTAAGATGCCACAGATTCACTACTTGTCTTCTTTGTGCTACACTGTCTTCCCCATGATCCCCCCCACGCTATGTGTAC